GACAGGAATTCACAGGTTTGTTCATGCTTAACCCCATTTGGATGTTTTTTCCTGTATTAGAGATTAACAGCTCAGATGTTCTTGTGTTCCCTGATTGTGAGCAACATGGTAAAGCCACTGCAGATCTTAACATGTGTCATGCAGAAGCATGACAGGTCCTTGCCTACTTTGTAAAGAGAATGGGAGAGGTTATGTGGCACTGCCTGTGAACCTGGGGATGCCTCTTGGGAGGCATCTTGTAGCAGTCACGTTGGTGTCCTGGGCCTGCCGAGGGGTATTGTGCCTCATACCACAGCTGCCTTTGCTGTACAAAAGACTTGACATTGTGTGCAAACAGCACCAGGATCTTCACAGCATCCCTCTCACCTTGAGATTGTCCTCTCTGACGTGCACATTGATATTGGGAGGACTGACGGTCCTGATGGCCACAGGGACACGCACTTGAGAGGCCGAATACCCCCCAGGAGTACCTTCAGCAGTAACCAAGTAGCCTGCTCTGCTTATGCTTACATGGTGCTTCTCCACATCATCTGAAATCTTCCGAGGATCTTCATATTTAGGTGTTAGAACAAACACAACTATAAAAACTGGCAAAAAAAAACCCAAACAATGAAGTGGAGGGAGTGAAAAGTGCAGAATGTGAACTAGACTCTTTGTAGCTGTGGAAAACTAAAGGGGGAGGAGAAAAGGCAAGAAAGAGAAACTAATGGGCAGTGAAATTAGTAAAAATTAAAAGCAGCTTTAAATACATCAAAAGCTAAAAGGGTCCTAAAAGCATAGTCATCTACTGATGCCTGGAACTGGAGAAATGTCGAATGTTTCTGTCTTGTAGCCAGCAGAAGAGCTAGATGACGGTACCAGTTACAGCAGCAGCGTCATGCTCTCTGTTGTAGCAGTGGCTCGGGAAATTACCAGACAGCAGCTACTACAGCAGTACATTTTTAAGGTTGCTGTTCTGGCTAACTTGCATCCAGGGATTTTAAAAGGGCTGGCTGAGCAGCGCTCTCTGGGCCATAAATTCTAAATTTAAAAAAAAAAGTACACGTAATGAGCTAGACAGAAAAAAATGTTGTGTGTTAGTCATAAACAACTAAGCTAATACCAAGTCTAACCTGGGCAAACAAGAATACTAGGCTACCTGCAGCCTGATGTTGGCTTCCAATAAAATAATGCAATAGCTGATAGGGATTGGATTGGTCATGATTTAAGGGGGTATTAATTGTAATAATCAGTCTGTACAGATTTTTTTAAAATAGGTCTTTTGTAACATGGTGTGATTTTCTGATGTTGCTATAATTTTGGTTGATAAAAGTGTTGGTATGTCTTGCATGTTTAATGCACTGAAGTTGTGCCACAGGTCATCGGAATAAGCAGCTAGAATGATTCAATGTGTCACACACTGTCAGAGCGGCTCCAGAGGAGGCCGCAAAAACGATCGGAGGGATGGAACCCTCCTATGAGGAAAGGTGGAGAGAGTTGGGGTTGTTCAGCCTGGAGAAGAGAAGGCCCCGGGAAGACCTGATTGCGGCCTTTCAGTACTTAAAGGGGGCTTAGAAGAAAGATGGGGACAGACTTTCTAGCAGGGCCTGTTGTGACAGGACAAGGGGGAATGGTTTTAAACTAAAAGAGGGTAGATTCAGACTAGATATAAGGAAGAAATTTTTTCCAACGAGGGCGATGAAACACTGGCACAGGTTGCCCAGAGAGGTGGTCGATGCCCCATCCCTGGGAACATTCAAGGTCAGGTTGGACGGGGCTCTGACCTGATTTAGTTGGAGATGTCCCTGCCCATGGCAGGGGGGTTGGACTAGATGGCCTTTAAAGGTCCCTTCCAAACTATTCTATGATTCTATGAATAAACGAAAACCTGACTAAATGAAAGGTCACAGTGTGACAACAAAAGGAGAGCCGTTGCTGATGGTGTATTTCTGGTAGTGTCAGCTGGCAGTTGTTTTTTTGGCTTGATGCTAATCAAGAGGTGGGGGTTGGTCTCTTCTCCCAAGTAACAAGTGATAGGATGAGAAGAAACGGCCTCAAGTTGTGCCAGGGGAGGGTTAGATTGGATATTAGGAAAAATTTCTTCACTGAAAGGGCTATCAAGCATTGGAAGAGGCTGCCCAGGGAAGTGGTTGAGTCACCATCCGTGGAGATACTTAAAATACATGTAGATGTGGCACTTCGGGCCATGGTTTAGTGGTGGACTTGACAGTGTTAGGTTTACGGTTGGATTCGATGATGATCTTAAAGGTCTTTTCCAGCCTAAATGATTCTGTGATTCTAAGTTTGTCGGTGTCCTGGAAGAAAACGCAAAGTTAATCTGGATTATGTTCGTGGGCAACACAAAGTCTGGGCAAGTCACAAGTAATGAAAAGAGGCAAGTTAGTGGTGGAGGTGTGATCGCGTGTATGCTGGGCGAGACAAGAAGGAGTTGTGTGAATGTCTTAAAAGCAGGCACCTAGTCGCAGAGCAGGTAGGAGGGCTGGAGGGGGGTGCGCGGTGGCCTGGGAGCTGTTGCAGGAGCTAGGGTTCTTACGGCAGCATGACGGTTCACCAAATGCAAAACCCCAGCTGAGCACAGTGGCCAGAAAGTAAATGCGGTACTTGGACACAAACATGGAAACCCTGAGCAGGGGCAGGGAGGGTGTTATCTCGGTGCAAGGTGCTGCTCCCGTCAGCGCAGGAGTGCTGCAGCCGGTGCTGCGCAGGAATGTTGCTGATAAGTTGGAGGGAGTTCAGGGAGGACCATGAGAGGGGAAGGCTGCAAAATGTGCCATACAGTAAAATGAGGAGCTCCATGTGTAAAATAAACACTGGCTTTCTGCCTTTTTTTTTTTTCCCCCCTTGTTGGAGGTACACTGTAGTTTTACTATGAGTTCACTGAAGGAAGCATGGTGGCCTGCCTTGCGCAGGAGGTCAGACTGCACCGTCACTGGGTCTCTCTCGCTCCGTAACGGAGGAGTCTCCATGAGGGAAGAGTGGGAAAGGAAAACCCATTGTCTCTTCAGAGACGGATGTCTGCTTCCTACTGAAGCCTTGGGGGCTGTGGGTGTTTAAACTCTGGGTGCCTCGTACACCAGGCTTCCCAAACGGGTGGGTTTTCTGACCGAGGGTATCTGCCCCGCAGCCAGCATCTGCCTCTCCTGCACCAGCTAACCAGCTCTGGGGCAGCACCCGTCTCTTCTTGTCTTTTAACATTTTTCCCCTCCCCCAGCTGCTGCTTTCCCCCTCCTGAGCTGCTTTACTGCAGACTTTTCAGGAAGGACCTTTCCTTGTCCTATGGGTAGGGCAGGTAGCCCCTGCCTGCAGCAGCGGCTGGTGCATGGGGACAGGACTGGAGAGCTTCCCTCTCGCTTCGGAGAGTGCAGACCAGAGGCTCAGCCTGCCAAAATAATGAGCCCCTCCTTGCCCTTAATATTGCTTTCCTTCTGGGTGGCTGTGGTAATTCTGAAAGAAAGTGTGTCTTGTTTTGGGCGTCTTGTAAAGCCTTAAAAGTGCATGTGTTTGCACATATCTAGTTGTACTTACGCTGAGGCTTTGCTTTCAGAGCGCTATACAAGTATTAACTAGTGCTTCCTTGATACAGGCTCGATGAAGGTCTTTCAGGCTGCATATTGGCATGTGAGAAGTTGGGCTGAAAAAACTAATCATTTGTCCCCTGGCACAAAGAGGAGCCACAGAGGCTGGGAATAGCATTGCTTCTTGCTGTAAACAGGGCACAAATGCAGACCAGGTTTCCATGGTGCTGAGTCCCATACAAGCACGTGTAGAACAACGAAATTCCTGTCTTCAGGGATTTGTGACCTCAGAACGTGAATTTCGGGATGCCCAGAGCCGAGTCGCAATGGGGACGGGCTATTCCATCAGCTCCCCTGATAGAAGGGGTCCGCCCAGCTGCTGAGGCCCCTCCGTCAGGCACTGCGAGTATGCAGCGTAATGGAGTGTGCTACTGAGCAGCAGACGTGGAAAGTGGGATCACAGGAGGCTTTGAGGGGAGCAGCTGTGAAGTCTGTCCGATCTGCTATGGTGCCTGAGAGCAGCCAGTTTACGTGTCTTGGGGGAAGTCTTAAGACGAATGCAGTGAAGAGATGAGCGGCACTCTGCTTTATTCCTTGTTTCAAGCTGGGATGCTCTGAAGCTTAGTGATCCTTCCAAAAGTCTTAATATTCATTAAACCAATTCTGAATTATCATCACTCGCCTTATCAATATTTTCTCTTCAACACCATCCCATTATGGGGGGAGGAGGCAAGTGTTACCGTTTTGGAGCTTGCTGTCCCTAGACATCATTAAGTGGCTCCTGGCTCTTGCGTTGAGCTGAGGGAGAAGCATTTTCACTACAACGGCTTGCATGCCAGAAGGGTGGTGGTAGCTCAGCTCCGGTCATCGCAAGGGACAGGAATATCAAGAGCATGACTTGTGCAGTTTTGGTGGAGCCCTGCAGGGTGCTGTAGGCGCTCACCTGTTTGTCAGAGGTGTCCGGAGCACACGGAAAGCTGCATCTGCAGGGGTGTAGTACACCATGCTCTGTTCCCAGATGGAGACTGGCATATTTTATATTTGTAGACGGATCCTGGTTCATGCCACGACCTGCATTCCTCTTTCACGTCATTCTGTCCTCAAAGACCTGCTCTGAGGTAGTGGTGCTCCGTGTTTCCATAACACATCCCACCATCAGTCTTAAATTCCATGCGCAACGTTTTTAACGGGCACTGCGGAGCATACTTCAGATTCCCCCTGCCTCAGGTTGCTCTGTGGTGTCTCACACTCTTCAGCTGACCTGCAACTGGACGGCTCTTTCCTCCCTGGCGCGGGAAGGGGTTTCCACCTACGTGCACGCGTCGGTGCCCCGGTGCGTGATGGCGGCTCTTGGTGCCGGGAAGGAGCCTGCTCCGCTGGCTGCATCCTGGCCTGGGGGAGGAAGGCTGTGGTTCCTGGGGGAGGAAGGTTGCGATTTCCTGGCCAGTCATTTTTCTCCTCTCTTCCTTCATTCTTTTTCAGAACATGAGTGAAAACTTGAAGGACTGTTTGATCCAGACCCAGGCTTCCTTAGGGGAGATGGTGACAATAAAAACAGAGGCCTGCTCTCCGTGCCGGGACCAGGAGTATGGACAACCTTGGTACGCGGCTGGGCTGCAGTCCGATGTACTCTAACCCCCTTCGCTCCACTTCCCCTCACAGCTTAAAGTTGGTTTTGAGGGATACGCTTGAACCTCTCAAAGTTATTAAAACCCTCCCTTGCGAGGTCTGCCTTGAGGTGCATGACAGGGGTGGTCACCTACTCGTGTGCTAGGCACGTGTCTGCGACGTGTGCTAGTTCACATCAGGCCTTGCGGTGCTGGCGTGCATCGAGGGTTGTGCCTTGCCTTTGAGCAGCACGTTTCCCGGGCTGTAGCAGAGCGGCACGGCCTTTCTGCTGGTGGGAGTCCCCTCTGCCACTCTCCTGCCTGGCGTGGGACATGCCAGGTGAGTGACACGTGTGGAGGTTGCTCTAGCTGAAGCCACTACCTGCTGTGGGCTTTAGCCTTAAGCCGTCTCAGGTACCAGCTTTTGGCAGGTTGGATGGCGGGTTGAATCATTTCTCTGCTGCAGGTGTGGGGACTAAGAGAGTTGTTCAGACCCTGTTGCCTCTGCTCCTCTCTGTGTGCAGTCCCAACGTCTTGGTAGGTTAACGTCATCTTTCTGTTGTTCCCTCCCCAGCTCTGGAAGGCCTGACCCACAGTCCATGGAGGTGGAGCCCAAGAAACTGAAAGGGAAACGGGATTTGATCGTGACCAAGAGCTTTCAGCAAGTGGATTTCTGGTGTAAGTGTCTTGTGAGTGAGGGAAAAGCAACACTGCTGCTTGTATAGACTTCGGTCTTTCCTAGTCAGCTCCCTGCTGGTTTGGGGTGGGAGGCAGGGAAGAAAAAAGTCAGGGACAAATTCGCGTGCTCTCCTGAAAAGAGCTGATGAGGGAAGCTGTTGCACAAAAGCAGAGACGTGTGGCGAAAAAAGTGAGGAGCTGGTGAAGCGTCTACGTGTGTGGAGGCTTTGGGGAAGGGGCTCGGCCAGGCCGGGGGGAGGACGGGGAGCTGGGGCGTGCTGTCCTGAGCGCCGTGCATCCTATGAGCTGCGTGAGCCTGTACGGGCATCATGTCTGCCTGACCTAACCCCTGCTCCCCTTGCACCCGCAGTCTGTGAGTCCTGCCAGGAGTATTTCGTGGATGAGTGCCCGAACCACGGCCCCCCGGTGTTCGTGTCTGACACCCCAGTGCCTGTTGGCATCCCCGACCGGGCAGCGCTGACCATCCCACCTGGAATGGAGGTGGTGAAAGAGCCCAACGGGGAGAACGACGTGCGCTGTATGAACGAGGTGATCCCCAAAGGTCACATCTTCGGGCCGTACGAGGGGCAGATCTCCAGCCAGGACAAGTCTGCAGGATTCTTCTCGTGGCTGGTGAGTGACGTGTCTCCCTAACGAAGTGACACCCCTGCCGTGCAGCTCAGAGCTGGGGGACTGTGGAGCCAGACCTTAACCATCTTCCCCCTTCTCTGAAGATCTTCCGCTGACCCACGTGGGCAGTAGGCAAACATTGGCCTGCCATAATTATTAGCAGCTTAAGGGTATAGATACGTGAAAGGAGACCAGGTGCCATGGCACCTGAGTTCAGTTCACAGCTGTAGGAAGCAGAGCTCATTTCTCCTCTCCCCCTTGCCATGTTTTTCCATCCCCACTCAACCTCGAGGGCTCCTCCGGTACCTTTCTCTGCTCTGGTCATCATTTTGAGGACAGAGGAAGGATGTATCTAGAGATTGCAGAGCTCTCTCATGGGCCTGCAGCATGCCCTCCCAGCCCGCTTGAGCAGAGCAGGTGGCCCAAGACGCCAGGAAAGAGGTCCAGTCCATCAGGAACTGATCTACATGCAGACTCCAGTAGCAAAACCCGTATTTTTTTACCTTAGTACTACAGGCCTCGGTTAGCCTATGAGATAGAGATGTCACTAGATTGATGGATATTAATTATTATGAGAAATGAGATGTGGGACTTGAGTTATAGGTGGGGAAAAAAATTGAGAGCTGCTGATAGGAAATGCTGCTTGCGCTTTTCTGTCTGTAAAATAAACGTGTGTCTCAGCCCTGTCCTGAAAGGAAAGTTAATCTTTTCTGTCTCAGGACTGTTAACAATTTTGTCAGCTGCATCCATAGTTCTGTGTTACGGATATTTGTACATAGGAAAATGCCTCTTAGTCAGTTCAGAGCAGCCTCTACACACATATCCAGGGCAGCAGCCTGTAGTACTAGGAGAGCTGGCGTAGAGTTTCATGTCCTGACTTATGGCTGGAACTGAAGCAGTGATTTGAGAGTCGTAGACCTTCTTCTGTCTGGACCAGCTAGTTGACGTGCTGCATCTGTTCTCTTGTTCTGCAGATCGTTGATAAGAACAACCGCTACAAATCCATCGATGGGACGGATGAAACCAAAGCAAACTGGATGAGGTGAGTCCAGTTCTCTTCTGCCTTCCCTTTTGGGGCTCTGTCTTCCAGAGAGAGGCCATGAAACACTCCATGTTATTTTGTGTGACAGAAAAACCAAAATGCCACAACCCCTTCTGTAAAGGGTGTGCTTGTGCTCTTGCAGTATTTATTGTGATGAGAATCCTTTGGAGTCAGATTCAATGAAAGGGACTAAAACAAGGATGTTTGTACGGAGGATGGCTATTTTCTGGAATGAGGACAAATGATAAAGATGATCTTATTTACTCTTACAAACGCTGATAGGTCTTGCTCCATTTTTTTTTTTTTTTTTTTTTTTTACTTTATGTTCAAATATTTGCAAAATGCTTTGCATTATCCCCAAGGTAACATTTTACTCTGTTTGGGGTTTTTTGTCCTTTCCCATTTGACAGACATCGAAAGAGGTGCTTTTTTTTTTTTTTTCCCTTTCTGGAGCTTCACTTGAAACAGTTGTCTGTGGTGGCTGTCATTGGTAGTGTCAGCTTTACTGTGCTAGGAGAAACGTGGAGTGAGTTGCTGCAGCTCCGAATGCAAAATCATGCGTGTGCTTGCGCTCCCTCTGCCGGCCCCGGGTCTCAACAGAGCAGAACCCAAATACCAGTCATTACTGAACCAGGAGTGGAGCTGGCTCTGGTTTGTTAACTGCAGCAGTAAGGGAACATGTTTAACCGTGATGCAGTGCTTCAAGTAATGGCATATATCTGCAAAATGTAGGTCACTCTTGCAGCCTCCTGAGGCACAGGCAAAACGCTGGAGTGCCTCGTGCGTACGGTGAGTCACCAGAATGGGACATAGCTGCATGCTGTGGCCCGTCCCTCATTAGGACCAATCCTGCTTTCAGGGGTGAATTTTGGAAACGGTTGTTGTCAAGAAGGCATTTCATACAAGAGTAAAGCAGCATGGGAATTAACTGGTTCGTTGGCCTGGATGCCTAGGATTTTCAGTTGTCACTCACTAAGGGAAGAGAGAGCGTGAAGTACAGGTAGATGCAAGACTAACCTAGCTGGTCAAAGCTGGCTGCACCACTTTTGCTCTATTTGAGTCTTCACATGGATAGCAGCTGTTCTGACACTTATGTTCATAAAGTTCAGCAAAGGATCTCATTTTTCTGTAAGAATTCCAGCTGTTACCTTTGTACACAACTGGATGAGAGAAAATGCTAGACCTGGGCTGAAGCTGGAGTTGTCACTCCAAAAAGAAGCAGTGGTACAGTGGGCAGATAGGTAGGGGGACATATATCTTGAACTGCAAAGTTCAAAAATCAGAGTGAGATTTTTCTGCTTAGATCTGGATCTTTATGTGATCTGGATGACAGTGAAACTGGGGGAAAGCAAGTTTTGGAAAGCAGAAATCATATGAACTCTTCCTCCTAGTACCATGAACATAACCTTCGTGTCTGGATTTAAATGGGCACCACTCATGATCCCAGTACCAAAGAACAGAATGTTCTTGCCTAAACTTGTATTTGCCATGGTCTGGGCCATTCTGTACAGCCATGAAAGGCGAGGAGGTTACGGTTTTGTGGAAAGGCGATGTCTGCAACTCTCTGGGTAAGGATGTATCAAAGGACCCGTGCAGGCTATACCAGTCTTACTGATCTTTCTGTTTTTATTCTTGAAAATTGCTTCTAATAGCAGTATTATGCAGAGTCTGACTGACAGTTCAAGTGGAGCTAGTAGTCCTCAAAAAGCCTTGGGTTTTTTTGTTAGCAGCTTTCAAACAGAGGTGCACTTGATATCTTGTGCTAGGACATTACCTGTCACGGAGATTACCCACAGAAACCGTACTTCCAGGACGCTGTAGACAGCGCTCTTTTTGTTTTTCAGATGGTGCTCTTTGCCATCACTCACAGATGGAGTTCTTTGCAAAGCAGATCTACTCACCCTCTGGGTAGGTGGGTATGGCACGGGGAGGGCAGCTTGGTCTGACTCCTCTCTCTTCTTGTAGATCTGGCTATTGTGTTTGTTGTTTGACTACCACATCTGAGTCCATTTTCATGTTCCTCAGCGCTCTTTTTGTTTTTCAGATGGTGCTCTTTGCCATCACTCACAGATGGAGTTCTTTGCAAAGCAGATCTACTCACCCTCTGGGTAGGTGGGTATGGCACGGGGAGGGCAGCTTGGTCTGACTCCTCTCTCTTCTTGTAGATCTGGCTATTGTGTTTGTTGTTTGACTACCACATCTGAGTCCATTTTCATGTTCCTGCAGTTTAATTTCAAGTGGCTGTTTACCCAGGGCAGTGGATGACAGGGAGGAAGGAGTACGAAGCGTAGCAGATGGCATGGCAATGGTAACATCCTCCTGCCCTTTCCCTCTTCATCAGTCAGTCAAGACAAACTCCTGATGCTGGGAGCATGTTCTTCTAAGCTGGCCGCTGGCACAAGAATAATACACCCTTCATCTCTGTCCAGAGTAAAGCGCTGTTGTTTCCAACACTTTATGAAACTCCATGGCTTTGGATGTGTACAAACCTCTTCCTCTGTTTTTATTTTTCTGAGGGCTCAGGGTGACCGATTACCACGGATCGCAGCAAACCTTAAGCGAAATTGGTGCCTTCTCAGACACAAACCATAAACTGCTGCTGATGGGAGTTCTTGGGGCTTCTGAAGGATTGCACAGAACCAGCTGTTGTTTCTGGTTACTTCAGAGAAAATTCTGTTATTCAGTTGTTGGGGACCTTTAAAAAAATGGATCTGACCAAAAAATGAAAGTAATTCAGAAAGTCCGGGAAACATCCCTCTGTGTGTATGTCTCTTGACCCAGACTGAGATGCAGGATGGGAAGCACCAGCAAACTCGTGGTGCCTAACCGAATTGTTGAAGTGTCTCGTGTGTGGCATTTCCAGGCTAGTTTTGGCATTTATAGTCTGTATCCTTTCTTACGTGTGAGTACCCGAGTTCTCAGGCTTTTGGCACAGTTCAAATTCATCCTTTCTCACAGCCTATGTGAAAAGGCTGGTGCAAGACTTCATCACTTCTTTCTGCTTTGCCGTCCTCTCTGCCACCTTTCCTCTCCAAACATAGTTACAAAGAGTTCTCACGGGGAGCAAGACTCTCTTGTATGTCTTCCTGTGTCTCCTTATAATGGAGATGTCTGTGGTTTAATCTTCTTCATACAATAATAGAGCTTGGAAGGGAGCTCTGGTCAGGCGCTCCAATGGCCTGCTCAAAGCAGGACCAACTTAGATCGGTAGATCTTTTAAGTACTGAGCTGCTGTTTCAACTTTACAGGACCTTTTAAAAATAAAAACTTAAAAAAAATCGGGGTTACTGTGGCTGCCCATGTGTTCAGGGGGAGTAAAAGCCACCAGTCTATGCACAAGTCATTTTGTTGAACTTCATAAACTGGTCTCTGTAACCTTGCAGCAAGGGGAGCAAATGTTCTTATGCATTACAGACTGAAATTTATGCAGAGCAAAGGGATCCTAAAGTACTGCAGGACTGTGATCCCTGTAAAAAAAATTTCCCCAGGGCTCTGAAGCGGTTATATGCTTGCATCTTAGAGGCCAAGAAAAGTGGAGTCACCTGATGTCTTTGTGGGGTCATCATTAAGTGCCCACTGTTCACATAGTTTACAATGTCACATGTCTTTTTAAAGAAATAGCTGTACAGTCTTGCACTTTCAGATTGACCTGGGCTGAGGTGTGAATTCGCAGACCCACAATTGGGGCTCCTCTGGAGCTTGTTAAAACCCACACAGCATCCCCAGAGAGGTACTTCCAAATATCAGTGCCTGCTCCTAGAGGCATCCTGCATGCTAGAGGAAATGCATGAGGGGAAAAAGATCTCTCTGACAGTAATACTGTCTGCATTTTTATAAGGAGGAGGTTAATGTGCCTGCCTGGGAACCTAACATTGATTGAATTTGTGATTAAAACTGGCCAGAACTCATTACTCTCTGCATGGTGAGTTTGCTGTTGGAATACTTAAGTTATCTTAAAGTTACTTAAGTTTTGACCCAAGTCATGCTGGAGCAAATGAGGGGAAACCCCGAAATCTGAATATCCAGGTCTATCACAGGTTGTCCTAAGTGCATTTGATGGGATGCCACTTCCTTGTCTGGGAAGAGCAAAAAGGGCTCTAATTCCCCATCGGTGCAGCTTTGCTAGTGACAGCAGCCATGGGTTCGGCAGGGAAGAGGGGGCATAGGTTTCCTGACCCCGCCAGCGGCTCCGAGCAGCTCCAGAGAGACTTCTGTTCTGCAAGCTCACCTCTACCCAGGGGCACTTTGCAAAATACTGTTACTTCCTTTTCACCAGAGCAGCTTGTCAGTGGAGGTTTGTTTCCACCACATGGAGGCACTGATGATACTGTGCAGTCGCGGGTACCTGCGGAGAATATACATGAAGCCCAGTTTTGCTCAATGTGATAAAAATCAAACTGTAAATGTGCCCTTGCTCAATGTTCCATGTAGCCTTTTCCCCCTTCCAGTGTTCAGCTGGGAGAACTCCTTTTTCCTTTTAAGTTTGAGGGTTTTTTTCCCTTGAGGTCAGTGTAGCAAGTGCTTTGCTGGCTCTCCATCGTTTCATTACCATCTTCCCTAAACACTCCCTTCTATCCCTCCATAAATGAAGCTCCACCAAAACAGTATCTCAAGGATGCATTTACGTTTTTCCCAGTGAAATGCATCTGTGTACCTAGCTCCCAGCTCTCCCTGTGTGTGGCCTGGATTTGAGCAGCATCTTCGACTGGTTTTCCAGCTTTAACCAAGGTCAACAGCTTCCGACACTTACCCCGATGGAGGGCAGCAGTGTCAGTGAGACTCATTAAACATCAGCGTAACAACACTAAGGAGAAACTAGAACAACATCTGACAAGGGTGACTCTGCCTTTCTGTAGGTTTTTCTTAGCCTGCAGCCCACAAGCACCTTTCACATGAGAGCACCCCAAACCACCTCTCTTCTGCTGGGCCATGGCAGTGCTGAAGGCACCATGTCTGAGGAGGTGCCAGCAGGGCCATCACAAACGGGGGGCAAGCGGGAAAAAT